CCAAGAAGAATCAGAATATTTGTGTATGTGTTTGTGGGCGGGCAGCTATCATCATTTTCTCACCTATTTTTTTCTCCCAAAAGCACTTACGGACAGGTTTATTAATTATTTATTGATTATCTTGTTCCTAAGCAATGTTTGATCATTAAGGCCTGGCACATTTCCTGTATAGTTCATTGCTCTCTGCTTACTGCCTACCACAGGGACAAAACTTGTTAATTATTTGCTGAAAAAATGAAGGAATAAGCCAGATATGAAAACTTAAAAGGAGGAATGAGGCTCCAAGCTACTCTGGGCTCCAGTAAGGAAGGCTCAATAGTGTCAAAGAAATAAGACATTTCATTTTTTCACTCTTCATAATATCTGGCAGCATTCTAGACCAGTGCTGTCCAATGGAAATATAATGTATAGGCAATATATATAAAAAGTTTTTCAGTACTCACAACAAAACAGTGAGATAATTTCTAATAATATGCCTTATTTAATCCCACATACACAAAATATTTCAGCATGTAATCACTATAAAAATTGAGGTATTTTACATTCTTTTTTTCATACTAAGTATTCAAAACTCACTGGGCACAAATTTTCATCAGAAGTATTTGATTTGTGTTTGAGGCATGTAGTAATTATAATTGAGAAAGTAGATGCAAGTATTAAAGTTTTCTGAAACATTTACGTTTTCCAATAACTGAACCTAGTAACAATTTTTAAACTTAAAATGTATTTAATGAAAAGTATATAAAAAACTAAAGTTCTCTTTGTAGTTGCATATCAAGTGCTCAGCATATGTAGCTATGAGCTGCTCTAATGGATAGAGCTGGTCTAGAACAGCTTCTGGTTGTATTTCGGAATAACTTCAGGAGATCAAGCTTTTGAGCAAACTTATCTTCATTCAACTGCTGGGTTTATATCCTAAGAGGATGATGTTGGACCAGTTACTATTAGTGTCACATGAATTTGGCTGTTTTCTAATACTCAGTGGGCATAATGATGTCTGTTACAAAGGGTTGTTAATAATTAAGGGAATTTAACATATGTAAAGGTCCTAGTGAGACTTCATCCCATACTGGTCTTCAGTAAATGGTAACTGATGTTACTACCACCACCACAAAGAAAACTGATCTTAAATGTCAGTCAACATGGTCATAAACCATTGCTAGAGATAGAATTCTTTCTGATAAGAGATGCAATTTCTCCAAAGTTATACAAATTCAAAATTTGTATCCATCTAACAATATTGTTGCATAAACTATAAAATCAGTGCTTGACAGAAATACAAGAAGAAATGGACAGGCCCACAATTCCAGGGAGACATTTGAGAATGTTTCTCCTATGTGGCTTCTCTATAAACAATGGCAAAAGGAAGGATATGGATTTGGAAGTAATGAGCAAACTGCTTAGTGTATCTAGTAACTGATAAAAATTAGAAAGTACTTGTCTGGCAGTTGGGGTAAAGGAATGGACTGTAAGGTTGAGGGGGTTTTCTCCAGAAATGAATATGTTCTATATCTTATTTGGACTGGTAATTAAAATGTGTAATTGTCAAAACTTATCCACGGGGTGGATCTTTGCTCTATTATATATTCATTAGGTCTAATTTAAAGAAAATCCCAAAAGGCAAGTGTTTATGCAGATGCAGCCACACAGAATAACGTTTGTGGGCCTGTTCAGCCAAAGACCCCAAGTTTGTCTCCTGGGAGTAAGTGCATTTTATTACTAGGATTTGAGACTCGGTTTTTCTGAATGAATGTTCTTTCAGGGTTTGTCTTTTCATTTGTGGTATAAGGATCTTGGATAGTGAGGGTGAATTGGCACATAGATAATGAACTGTGGAACTTCCACTGCTGATTGCCATTGAAAATTTGCCATTCTGCAGATTATCCTTTGGGCTACTGCTCTGTATCTGATTTATTAAAGATAGCCATTAATTTTTAACATAGGAGTTAACCTTTAAGCTATGAAGGTTAAAAGATAAACATGAGGGAAGTATGGTTAAGAAGAGAATAAAAATAAAAACGGGGAAAAAATGGAATTGGTAAATAATATGAAGAGGAAGTTTTCCTAGAACATCCATAAAATAGTCCTGTGTTGGTTTGGAATCACTTCTCTGACAAGGTGAGAGGCAGTGGGTAGACCTGTTTGACGTGAGCCTCAGTCAGGACCCTAATGAGGTTGCTTGAATACCTGAAGTGTCTTCTGAGTTTTTCCTTCCTGCATTATTTTTCTTCTCTTGTTGGGTCAGATTCAGAATAGCCAGTAATTATTTTCCTTTTCTGTCATTACCTTGCCCAAGAAGAATCAGAATATTTGTGTATGTGTTTGTGGGGGGGCAGCTATCATCATTTTCTCACCTATTTTTTCCCCCCAAAGCACAATTATTTATTGCTTATCTTGTTCCTAAGCAATGTGTATGTGTGTGTG